CGCGGGGGGGCGTCAACGCCCCAGCCCCAACCACCCTGCTTCTACCAGGTGGCTGATTCACGCCGCGCACTTCTGTAGTTATGCTGTACCGCATGCACGAGTGCGGGCGGGTTGCCTACTCGCTCGGCTCGTAAGGCGCCGTGGACAGGGGCGATAGGCAAGCCCGCCCGCACTCGTGCATGCGGTACAGTCGTGAATCAGCCACCTGGTATACCTGGAGGTTCCAGGCGAGAGGCTCCGCGAAGATGGCGGTGATCTTCTTGGACGCTATCTGAGTGAAGGTCTCGCCTCGTGCGGCCTTCCTGGCGGCCGCCTCCTTGAGGCGTTTCTCCGGGTCGGGCGGGGAGAGCGGCATGGCCCACTCGCCGACGCACTCGTCCAGGCCGGCGTCCGCGTCCTCGTAGTCGTCCTGCACCGAGGTGTCTTCGGGGAGGAGGCTCGGAAGCTCGGAGCCAGCGTTCGTCTCGTGGCTCTCCGACTCCGACGAGGATGACGCGGACATGTCCTCCTGCGGGGTGGCGGTGCAGCAGGAGAGAACCAGGATCACGACGCAGGCCAGGAGGCCGACCCAGGAGCGCGGCCTCCGCATGGCCTATGGGGGTGAGTGAGGTGACTACATGCCTCGTTAGGGCAGAGTTGTGATGAGGAGTCCTCAACTGGACATGAAGGGTGCCGAACAAACACTTCACACGCCAGCACTTTTATTTTATCGAGGGGGAAAGCATGCCTGCGCTTCGCGTGGCAAAATTGATTCCTAGCTTTTAGTTACGAGGAAAATTTGTTCAGGCCTACAAGCATGCCTGACACCATCTATTCTGTTTGTCCGCAGGCATCCCGGACTTTGCCCTGGTGCGGCCCGAAGTGCGTCGGTCAGGTGACCCTGAGGGACGCCGCCGTCGCCGAGGAGCCGAGGACGACGACGACGGCGTGCTGCTCAGAGCCGAGGCCATGGGCCGAAACTTCAACCTCCGACTGCGGCGCTCGGCCGCCGTCCTCGACCCCTACTTCGCGTTGCTCCGGCGCGACAGCAATCACAGCCAGCACCTCGACGCCGGCCTCGTGGACCAGGAGGAGCGTTGCCTCTACCGCGGGGAGGGCAGCGACGGCGAGAGCGTGGCCGCGCACATAAGCGACGGGATGGCTGTGAGTGCACTGCTGTAACGAATTACTATGCTAAAAAATTAAAATTATCACCAAAATATGCGCCCCCGGGTGGGGTCGAACCACCAACCTTTCGGTTAACAGCCGAACGCGCTAACCATTGCGCCACGGAGGCCACTGTCCGCCATGGGAAACGGCCTCTTTTTTGCTCACTAATCGTGGGCGATCCCTTCAGTATGCGCCCGTGGGTGTGAGAGCTTTGCGCAAAAGATTGCATCGGCCGGGAATCGAACCCGGGCCGCCCGCGTGGCAGGCGAGCATTCTACCACTGAACCACCGATGCTTCGATACTGTTCAGGCAAGACGTCAGCCAACAGTATGCAACGCGGCGGGGAAGGCAGCCGCTAGCCGTCCGGCCCGGGAGGGCTATCGAGTGCGTGGGGCGGCGGGGGCCGCGGGGCGCCATGAAAGAGGCCTTCATCTGCCTCATTGTCCTGCAGATGACCTCTGTGCGTGCGGCGGGGGATATAGGCGGCCGCTATGACGATCATGGCCAGGGGAGGAGGGTCCCTCCTCACAGACACGCTCGCAGGGGTCCCCGCCAGTCGTTAGGACCCGAGCGGAGGTACGGGGCATTTTAATTGCACTCAAGTGGGGAGTGAATTGGCGCGAAATGTGCCGGAGTGTATGCGAGGTGGGTATATAACGACCTGGCAGTGCCGAGGGCGCGCAAGGCTCGGGCGGGGCCACGCAGAGGGGCTGACCGGAGGTAGAAGAGAGTGCCGAAAGAGTGGAGTGAATCAGATACCAGCATCAAGTGACATCTACAAAACATCGTCAATAATTTTAATTTCAGACAGTCCCTTGAGGTTGTGTCTCCTCAAAGGTACAAGATTCCCGCGCAATTGCCAAAAACGAAATAACAAGTATTCATACTAGCCTGCTGCTTTCAGCCGAGAGAAGTTCGCAGCCTTGACACTTGACATGGCCCCGACTACTACTTTGGCTATAAACACCAGCGCCCAACTCGCGAATTGCTACTTCCACTTACTTTTTTCTCCCTCTCTCCCTCTTTCGCGTCCCTAATGTCTGTCATCTGCAGATGGCGTCGAGATTCCGTTGCTCAGCAGGTACTCTCTTCTCCGCAGAATACACATTCTTTCTAGACGCGGGTAAAGATGAAGCAATTACAACATGCCACCAAAGCTCCCGCTCTTGCTTATCATTCGATTTCAAGTCGATGCGGAGTGCTTGCTACATTATTACATTGAATTTTAAGTTTTCGACTTCTTCCAAGGAATATTTTTCTGTACGCGGTACGACAATTTTTGACAGTGAAAAGGTAAGCGTTTACGAGTGATTGCGGGTCTAGAAAAAAGCCTTGCGGCTTTCTGCAACGAAGAAGAAGAGGAAGAAGAAAGGACAGCGAAGAAAAAGAGAGGGAAGGAAAAAAAAGAGCGCGCTGGCTTCCTGAGAAGATGTTTCATCTGGCGGTGACAAATCATCGCCCCGTGTGGCTGCCGTGTGACGCTATCTCACCGACACATTTTTTTCTCCCTCTCTCGCCCCTTCCCTCCCTCTCCCCTCCCCCTCCCTCTCCCGTCCACCGTATCTCGGCCAATCAAACAACAACGCAGGAAGGATGTCATACCCACCTTCACGACGCTCCTGCCCCGGGCTGGAACCACCCTTATCCGCCAGATTACCCCCCCCCCCTTTTCCTCTCCCTCCCTCTCTCTGGACCGCACACACGATTTTCTTTTTCAGCTTTCGGTAAGCCTGTAGAAGAGTCAAATTTTGGTCCAGCTTATTTCTTATCTATTTTCTTCTTACCATAAACAACTGAAGGCTTGTTAATTGTCCACGTGTAACCCGGTGCAGAGCAGGCGCTCCACTAGAGTCAGAACGGCAACGACCGTCAGAGAAAAGAAATAGGAAAACAAGAACTAAATAAAAACAACCATGACCTCGATTGCAGCCGAGGCGAAGCGTCGAGACCTCGAAATTACGCGTTTGCACAGCGCGAGCGGTGCTTTTTGCACCGAGCGATGGCGCGACTTATCGCGAGGTGGCAAGGTGGCAGAGCGACGGTGGTATTCTCTCTCTCTCTGTCCCCCACGCTCTCTCTCCCGCCGCCCTTTTTATCCACGTAATAACAGGCAGTACTCGGCACGAGTGCGGAGGAGGGAGAGCAAGAGAGGCCAGAGTAAGAGGGAGAGGGGGAGAGGGAGTGAGGAAGATGGGAGAGGGAGAGAGAGAGAGAGAGAGAGAGAGAGAGAGAGGGAGGGAGGGAAAGAGAGAGAGAGAGATAAGCGAGAGGGTCCAGCCAGCGGCGGGCAAGCCCGCACTACAGTGGCGCCCCGCGGGCAGCCTACCCCGCTGACCGCAGGGGCACACACACAAACACACAGCTCTGCCAGGTGAGGCGGGCCCGCCAGGTGGGCGCGCGAGGGCAGCGGGATGCCTACTCGCCCGACCACAGGGGTACCGCACCATGCGTCTCTCGTCTTGCTAGCGTTATCAGCTGCGTGAAGGTGAGGCAAAGTATCATAAAAGCTGATTCAATACAGGAAACTTCAATACGTGCGTTTGTCAGATATTTCTTTTGTTTTCTTTTTTGAAATCGAAACTTTCATTTAAAAATTAAATGAAACACTTTGCATGAAAGTTTTCAAGCGGACAATGTATGAAACCCATTTTGACTGGTAGTGTTTTTGTTGTTTTTTGTTGCTGTCTGCCCAAGAATGGATGCTGCTGGCCCCCGAAGAGTAGGCAATCCTCGCTGTGGGATGAGGACGCTCCCGCTGGCCCCCTGGTCCCCCCGCTAACACGCCGCGTCGCGCCCCACACCGCGAGGCCGTAGCTGTCGTAAAACCGGAGGGGTCTCCTTGGCGTCGACTTGGGGAAAGAAGCTGGTTGCGAGCAAAAAGAGCGGGAGGGGGGTGGGAGAAGTTACTTTCCATTGGCGTTAGGGGAAGGTTAGGCGGTTAGGCTGGAGTAAAGTTAAAGGTGAAGCCTCTGGTTTAGGTTCAAAGGGTCACTGCGTGTGCACTCTTCACAGTCTCTCCCAGAATTTTGCCATTTTCGCCGGACCCTCTTCTCTGAGTTCACTCGGGCGGGCATTCGCCTCACCCCAGATCGCCGTATGAATACAGGACAGGACGTCTGGCCACACGACGCGTGCTGGTCCGCCTTTGCCCGCCAACCGGGTATACGAAGGGAAACTCAAGACGCTCCGGAAAACTTGCAGATTCACAAATGCAGAAATAATTCGAATCATGACTTATTTCGCGGAGGAAAAAAGTTTATTACCAACACCTTCTCAGGGGCACCTTGGTCCTCCCCGCGTCCTCCCCCACCCCCTCAACCCGTGCCTCCCGACCCCGCTCCGCGCGGCCCCCAACCAGAGCTGCTTTTCTTCTTGCCTTCCGCTCCAAGAGACCAGAAATTCAATTCCAAAGTTAGTTAAAACGGAGGAGAGCTCCACGCGTTTTATCTAGGTTGAACCGCCCCGCCCCGCCGCGCCAGGACCCGCGACGCTGAGACAAGCCGCCTGTCAGCGACACACCCACTCCCCCGCGAATGTGAATCTGGATGAAGAGGACGAATCAGCGAAACAACTCGCTTGTTTAAAGTCGCAGCGCAGCGTCCTGGAGGACACAAAGCTACCCAGTATGGAGAATGGAGCAGGGCTGGAGACATTCGTCCCCAAGACGAACCTTCTGAAGGGTGCGAGCCAGGCAGCTGGATATCGCAAAGGGATGGATTAGGCTTTCGAGGCGCCTGCTAGAGAAAACACGCCTGGAATGAACGTACATTCCAAAAGACGGTTCAAGAGAAGAAGGAAATGGCGTACAGAAAAGAGATGCTGGAGGAAGTCTTTCTGAACAGGCCGCTACACTGGCGCTGCACACCGAGATAGGCGGATGGTGGGTCGCCCTGAAGAAGGAGGGCTTCTGGAGAAGCTCCAGGGGCGGGCCAGGGGCACAGGGGCTGTGTCTGGGGGATCCACCGGGGCGCACACAATCTGACGGACAGCACGCCACGCCCCGCCACGCCACGCCCCGTCAGGGTGGTCAGCGTGGTCAGCGGGCGACGCGAGATCGTGGCGTGGCGGGGCGTGGCGGGGCGTGGCGGGGCGTGGCGGCTGTCCGCTCAGTATAACACAGCCTGAGGGCGGAGTCACGTTAGGATCACCCTCCCCCGCCTTGTAGGATTAGACAACGAAGATAGAGACACTTTTTTTGTAATTTTCTTTTATTGTTATTATAGCGAAGGTGGCCGAGCGTGGGCGCCGTGGGCGCGCGTGGTACACAACAGGAGCGGAGCAAGCTCTCAGTCGTCTGCGGCGGCATCAAGAGCTTGCCGACGAATAATAAAATAAAAACGCGATATAGTCGAGGTTGGCAAAGTTTGTCCCCGTCGTCTTCAAAGGAGGGAGGGGAGGGGAGGGGGGAGGCGTTTCAACGCGACGGGCCAAAATGACGCGGCGTCGCTATAACCTGAGCACCCCCGGGCTCATCCCGAAAGCCTTGAGCGAGAGAGAGAGAGAGAGAGAGAGGGGGGGG